GAAAAGAAAAAAGCAAACAACAAAGACAGTGGCGGGTCGTTCTTCAGCGAATTGATTGCCAGGAGCATGTTATTGACTTTGGTGATAATATCATTATATATTTTACAGTCGTAAAATCAAGAAATTCAGATGATGCCCTGAGGGCTTCACACATTTAAATAAAGGATACAGCCATTTCCAGGGCTATTGGTTTAGATTAGTGGGTGCTGTGAGGGGTGTGTATTGTGTTAGAAGAGCACACAGGGAAAGCAACAGTGTGCTTATTGCTGTGATGCTTTGGTTTATTTTCTTTCTCTATTTATGAAATATGCTTACTTACAGATCCCCTGGGAGAATGAACAGTGTCTGCTCTAGTTGTTAGCATATCGATACAGCGCTAGCTTGATGCTCTGAGAGCCAAAATTAAGTGTAATCCTTGACTTGTCCCATGAGTCGGGATGAGTCTTCCTGAAATGCTCACTGTGATACATGGTGCCTGGAGAGAAAACTTCGTGAGCTTCAGTCTGCAAAACTAACAGCATTATATCAGATAACCTAATGCAAATCCAGCTCTCCCTCTTGATGTCAAAGTGAAGGCTGAATGGCAGCTGATGGGCTGCTCTCATGCTAACACCTTGGGAGCAGCTCCAGAGCCTGCTGATGGTGGGTACAGCTTAGGAAGCAGCACAGCTTGGGCTGCTCTGAACTGCATCTTCCAAAATAGCTGTGCTCCTCCTGGACTGTTTGCCAGTCTTGTCTCAGGACTGAATGCTCTTGAGGTACTTGGGTTGAGTATGTGGGGGTTTGGGTTCAGGTCTCTCTCAAGTTTGCTTTGTAGAATCTGGGTTTAATTAAATTGCCTCAAATAGGAATGATTGACTGGGTTAAAAACCTCATTTATTAATTTACAGCATATTTAGTGAGATGGATAAAAAAACTTTAACACTGATCATGCGGATGAGCCTCTCTCTCCTGTGCAAGCTCCCAAACACATCACTCAGCTCTGGGGATTTATTGTTCTCTTAAAAGACTTTGGAAGTCAACGTGCTATGTCACAATTCGGCAGCAAAGGTCATGTTTTCCCACTCAGGCAGGGCTGTGGCTCCAGCTGGAACACATATGGCTTAAAGGTGAACAGTGACATCTATAGAGGTAGAGCCTCCGAGGATTATAACTATATGCTGCAAACAAAACATTTGTTTGCTTATGTCAACAGCAGCATTTTTTCTAATTAAAACTGATCACCTTTCTAAGCTGATTTTGTATGACATTATTAGTGGGACTTCTTGGCTTTCGCATTTTTTCTTGGTTTTGGGGCATGAGAATGAAGTCACAGTTTTGTTATTAATATGATCCCATTTTGGACTGCAAAAGGCTTGTGTTGAGTTGTGAACAAGTGCTTGGGATATTTGTTTGCTTATTAGAAGACACTTATAAGAGCATTTTGGAGCAAACCACTGGAAAACACTCATTGGTCTTGAAGTTAAAAAAAACCAAAAAACTTAGGATCATTTTAGAATGACTTAGTGGTGCTTGTCCTCTGATGAGGAGCACTAGACAGATCCCTACCTGCGCAGGGTGTAGTGGACAGTGGGTGTGAGCATCAGTTGCTCTCCTGGCATGGCTTTGGTAGCTGTGGTCTTCTCTGCAGTGAAGAAATCCTAAAATGAGATCTCAGGAAAAATGTCTTGTTGAAATAAGTGTTTATTATTAAACATATGCTTCTACTTGTGCTGGAATTTATGGTACATTAATGATTTGAGACTTGAAGCTTCAGTTTTCCATAAAATCTTCATAGTTGGTTATTGAATGTTCCCCTTCCTGCCCTTGAGATATTATTTGTAGTTTGAGGAAGATGAGCTGTGAGTGAAAGCCCCAAGATGTGGGGCTTCTCATTATTCAAGTAAAACAGATCCAGCAGTAAGCTCAGCCCCGCATCCAGGATAATCCCTCTTCCCACAGGCTGGGACTGAGCACGTGTGGAGGCAGGGGTGGCTGGAGAGCCGAGCATGGGTCTCCATGGACAAAGGCAAGAGCTGGGAGATAAAAGATTGACTCCATGTGTTACACAGGAGGAAAGGGGCAGCACTTTCCTGGGCAGGTTTCTGGCACAGGCACAGCTCTCAGTGGTTGAATATTAGTCCTCACCCTCCTCTAAAGCTTAAGAAGAATTACGGACTCGTAATTCAGGCATCTCTTACTTGTGCTGTTTCAAACACAGAAAGAACCTTGTTCAAGAACTGTCATAAAAAAAACCAAAACTTTTTAAATTTAATGTTGAGTTTATGAGGACCAGCTGAGGGAACTGGGGGTGTTTAGCCTGGAGGAAAGGAGGCTGAGGGGGAGACCTTCCTGCTCTCTGCAACTTGCTGAAAGGAGGTTATAGTGAGGTGGGGGATTGGCCTCTTCTTCCAAATAACAAGCGATAGAACAAGAGGAAATGGCCTCGAGTTGTGCCTGGGGAGGTTTAGCTTGGATATTAGGAACAATTTCATCACTAAAAGGGTTGTGAGGCCCTGGCACAAACTGCCCAGAGCAGTGGTGGAGTCACCATCCCTGGAGAGATTTAAAAGCTGTGTAGATGTGGTGCTGAGGGATGTGGTTTAGTGGTGGCCTTGGCAGTGCTGGGTTAACGGTTGGTCTTGATGATCTGAAAGGTCTTTTCCAACCAAAATGATTCTGTGAGTCTGAAATGCTGATGAGAGTCTGGACTGTCTGCCTTCTAAGTGTCCAGTCTGCAAATGAAGTATCCCACTGCATAAATCACCCCTTGTGAGCACAATAAAACTGACCACACTGACCGTATCTGTCACACAGAACTTTTCCAAGCAGGTAGAAACTTTTTTCAGCACAGGTTACAGCACCAAAATTTGGAAATAAAGTATGAGTATAGATGGAGGGAGATCTGGAGATATACAGAGAAATGGTGACTGTTGCAGAAGGCTGATGTATAGCATAGGGCAGTGTGTGTGTTCTCTTTGCTTTTGCAGGGGACATATTCTCTGGGGCTTTACGGATGAATTTGTAGTCTCTAGTAATTTTCAGTTTCCACCACAGTTTACAATATCCACATCATTTTCAGGTTGATGATTTTTCCCAGTCATTTATCCCAAAAGCACTTTATTGTACTTAATCTGGGTCATAATTGACATGGGACTTGTGCATAAGCAAACAAAGCCATAAGTTGTGTTTGAATGGGCTATTAATGTCAAGGATTTAGTTACGTTCAGCAGAATAGCTTATAGCTTGGAATAAGTATAAATGCTCAAACAACTAAAAGAATGTGAGGTCTCTGTATCATGACTCAGAGCCAGGAAACACCCTTGAACACATACCTGCTTTCAGTATCACTATTAGCTAACAGCTGCCTTCTTCTGTAATTAAGATGTAAGGTTGAATATTGTTGGCAAGGAAGCTTCTGGAACTGCATTTTGTTTACTGCAAATCAACTGGGTCTCTTTGCAAGTATCAAAGACATATGGAAAAGTCCACTGGTTTTGTTGTACTTTGTCATGTCTCCAGATGTTCTTCCTCCTGCCCCACTCTGGAGCTGAAAATGGAAAATGTTTTTTCATTGGTTTTGGCTGATGGTGCCAACATCTGCCTTGGCATTTCCCTGGGTAATGAATGGTATTAGCACTACTTTGGGTTTCTGCTTTATCATTTGTGTCTCATAGGATTAAAAAAAAAAAATAGGTGAGAGCAGATCTTCTGTATAGCTGTTCAGAAGCAGATTTTATTGATTTTGGGGGTGCTTAAATTTAACCTTTCAAATAGAAATGAGCTTTGGAGAAAATTTGGGCCAAAATTCTCAAATGGCAATGTCTAATACTAGATTCTTACTACAGTTCCTTTATAGCAGGCTCCAGTTCTTTGTTCATTTCCTGCAATAGTTAGAAGGATGGAGTAAAATCTGTGACTGGATCTCCTAGATGGTAGTAATACATTTTAGCAACGTCAGTTCATGTTTAGGTGAATTCTGTGGTGGAATCTGCTGGCTCCATGAAACTGTAAATTCTTTAATAGCTCACATTTTTGCCTTCTTTGTTCCTGGGATGTTGTTTGTTTGGTTGCAGTTATTTACAGTTCACTGCTGGGGTTTGTTGTTTGGTTTTTTTTGAGATCCTAGCAAGAAATTCCAGAGACAGCTGCAAAATATATCTTTAATCAATTTTTGGAAGACTGGTTCCCTAACTAACATAATTCTTTCAGCTAAGGCACAGTATAAACTCTTCTGCAGCCACTCAGGGAAAAAGTCTTCCTGACAAAACCCTTCTTTTCATGGATTGCTGTTGTGTTATCAGTGTGTGGTTCAGGCAAGTGTGAGTGTTGTAATTTATGTACATTGGTCCTATCAGCACTGTGCTATCTTGCCCCCTGATTGCTTTTTTATTAAGAAGTGTCTTGTGCCATTTTTTAAACTTCTCAGGATGAGCCTATGAGAGCTGATGTTGCTGGTCATGTTTTTTCTATGTATGTCTGTAGGCAGAAAGAACAGAACAAGGGGACAGTATGTGGGGTTTTAGACCAGCAATATTCTATAGGCAAATAACATCATTTGGGCTTGCATCATTCAAATGGTAATAGTGTAAATGTTGCTGATAACAGTCAGAGAAGCCGGTTTGTGTGAGGAAATAGTGGCGTGTTTCTGTTAGACTTTTGTCTGCAAAATGAAGAATTCTCAAGTGTATTGGGATTAAAACAACCCGCACAGATCAGACGTTTTCAGATCCACGAGGTCTGATTCAGACTTACCTCTCATTTTTGCAAACCTAATTTGTGTGCAAATTTTGTGCAGAACATTTGGTGTGGCAGCAATTCCACTGTGAATTCACTTGAGGTAGCAAGGCCAAGAGGTTTTATTGAACTAGTGCTTTTCTTCTAATTGCATTTAAATGTTTGCCTGTTTCAGTGTTGGTGGTAGGAGTTGGGTCTAATTTGCCACTGAATTGCAAGTCTTCATTCATTGCTTTTCCTTTGCACTCATGCAGATTTCCTGGTTTCCCTTCTGTCTTTCACAGGTCAGGATCGCAGTGAAGCCACTTTAATAAAGAGGTTTAAAGGTGACGGTGTCCGATACAAAGCAAAACTGATTGGGATAGATGAGGTTTCTGCAGCACGAGGAGACAAGTTATGCCAAGACTCCATGATGAAGCTCAAGGTGCAGTGGAACTTTTAATGTTTAATATTATGGAGTCGAGGGAAGTGAGTTTCAGCTTGAACTTTTACTCATTCTCCTTTCATGACACTGAGGCACACTCTGGTTAATTATGTATTGAAATCAGTCAATTTTACATGAACTCCAGTCTGGTATTGCTTATTCCAGTTTCATTTTAATACATTATCTCTGAGTTCAGTAGTTATTCATGATTGGCACCGCAGCAATTTGTCCGCAAATTATAAACAACACATCTGCAAATTGAATAATTTTATTATGCAAAAGGGGAGGTAAACCACTATGAAGAAAGATGGTATATCAGAATGTTTTATATGAGAGTCCTAATCAGCTGCAGCCCTGCCTTTGACTGTTGTCTCCTGTTGGGAAAGGTGGGAAGGGATGAGTGACATTGTGGGGAGTAGGTAGACTAGTATAGGGGGGAACTGGTGTCCTCACTGGGAGGACAAGGTCTTGCACCTACAATGGGAGGATTGATGGGTTAGAGAATCAGGAGGCAGTGTGCTGAGAGGACAGAGCATGCAAAGGTAAAGAGGAGTCCCTGTAGTTCTGGGAAAGAAAAGGAGCAGTGACAAACTCAGAGAACAGAGTCTGAAAGCACTAGTGGTGTAGGAGAGTGAACTTCCTGGAGCATGTGAGGCGTCTCTCTCTGCCTCAGTCTTTTCTTACAACCCTCAAGGAGCATGAGAGCTTTTTTTAGGAACCATCCTTTATGTGGCCCTGGGGAGTGAGGAAGAGCTGGGGTGCTTGAGAAGGAGGGAGAAGATGCATTTTTATTGAGTTCATTGTGGTCCACTGACTTTCCACTTGCTCTGCAGAGTTACAGCCTTGGTCCAGGAGTAAACCTGGTGCAGTTTTTTCTTTTTTTTTTTTTTCCTTCCAGTCTTCTCCCCAGCCCTCTACCAAGAGAGCTGATGGATTTCCCATTACTATTTTGTTATTTAATTTTCATGTCTGTGCAATGGGAACAACAACCTTGTGAAGGTCTTAAAACATAAGGTGGTACTTTTTTCATTTATTTACTGGTGCAGTTGATTACATTTTACCTTATCACAGTGTTACTGGTCAGGGCAGGCTCCTGAGAAGGTCGAAATAGAAGTTACTATTTTACTTACTCTGTGGGAGATGCGTATCAGCAAGTTCACTTATGAAGTAAAAGCCTGAGATCAGGAAAATGCTAACCCCTCTATAGGAGTTTTTACAGCAGAGGTGTAGTTTGATTTTGAGGAGACTGTTCTTCTATAAAAACCTTTGTTTGCTTATTCCAGATAAGTGTGCTTATGAAGTAAGCTAAAGTTGTTGGCATTTTTTTCCTTCACTGCTTCTTGTTTTTTTTTCTTGGAAAAAAAGTAATTAAAGAAAAAAAAAAATTTAAAAAAGAGCAGCTTATAGCTGGAAAAAGTGTGCTAGAAATGACCTTCAGCTTCCATGAAAACAAATTTCATGGAGGATTAGTCAGTGCAGGAGTTGGAAGTGGGAACACATATGAAATGCTCTCTGGGTAGCATAAAGAGATGTGGTACCTTGAAAAAGGGAGGAAACCAAAAGTAAGAGGGGGACAATTCCTGGAAATCCCATAAGTTTTCCTTGAAAAGTGGTGAGTTGTATACAAGCAAATCTTTGTTCTCTGCTGTGGCCCCTGGAAGAGCAATGAGACCATCTGACCTGTTATTTGTTTCAACAGGGAATTGTTGCTGCAGCTCGTTCGAAAGGAGAACATAAACAGAAGATCTTCTTAACAGTCTCCTTTGGGGGAATCAAAATCTTTGATGAAAAGACAGGGGTGAGTAAAATAATCACGTGATGGAACAAAATTGAATCTTTTAATGGATGTTTATTTGAAAGCATTTCCTAGCTGGGCAGTAATATCTTAGGAGTGGAAGCACACAGGAAGCATCTGACAAGCTTGATAAAGGGTTATCATATATCAGAGCAAGGCATTAGATGACTGAGGTGTGAAGTGTAGCATGGGGACGTGGTTTGGTATAAAATCTTGTCCTCAATACTTCTGCAGAACCACTTCTTTGAGTACACAAATGCTCCTGGCGTCCATAAACACTCACAGTTCTGAGTCTAGAAAGTGGCAAGAAGGGATTTGTTTTCCTTCTGCCAGATAAAGAATTGTTTCTTGGAAATAGCAGCTCACAGTTTGCAGAAGACTTCAGCAGTCTGTGTTGCAGACTGATGTCTGTGCCCGTATGGATTTTCTCACCCAACCTGGGCCCAACTGCACCAGTTCTCTGGATGCTGCTTGAGACTCCTCAACAGTATCAAGGGACTTCTGAGAGTCTAAGGACAAGGATGAGAGGTTAGGATTGTCTGGGGTTGGGCCCTTTGTGTCATGGAAAGGTGATGGGGAAGAGAACAAGCTGTGGGAAACTTCAGGAGAGTGAGACTTATTTTCCCCACTGATGCTTGAGGTAGAGAGGAAGGGCCCTGGGAGATGGGGAGCTCCTGGGAGCAGCACACACTTAGAAGTCCCAGGAGAATCCTAAGAATTTCTATCAGGTCCAAAGCTCTATGTGACTGCAGCTGTAGTCCCCATCATGTGATGCACTCCTTGTTGACAGCAATGATGGTCTTCTGTCAGGTATGCAGGGACCATAAGAATCAGAGCTTTTATGTCATCAAAAGTAGAAAAAAATACATATTATATGAAATTGGAGGTCAAATGAAAGCTTGAGGTTGCTGTGTGAGGCTGCCAAGCAGCAACTCATCCTGTAGCATCTGGTTGAGGATGTTGCAGGAAACTTCCATGCCTTAAGCAGTTTTTGCCACAGCAATATCATGTTTGATTTTTTAAATTGCTCTGAAAGAAGAAACTGAAGCAAAACATTATACTACTTAGATGGAAAGCAACAACACAAACTGTTTTAATCCTAATTAAGAAGATTTTTACAGCAGTTTAAGCTCTGCCTTGAATTTTAAAAAGCTCTTGATTTAATCTTTTGAAAGATTAACTATTTAACATGATGCCAGAAATAAAACCCTACTGATGATAGATGAAATTATCTTTGCCAGTTAATTTATATTATTAGAAAATCAATGTCATTGAGCTCACTGATACAGAATACAAGTAGTTAGTAATGAAAAGCTCACTTGGAATGTGTTGTGTACAGCATGAGTAAAGTATTCATACAAAAGCAGTGTTTAAGGGAATGTTGCTGAAGTTACAGCTTGTGCTCAGAAGATTGGAAAAGGATTAGGGCTGCCAGTGCATTCCTGGCTGGGTCTCCTCATAGTTAGTAGGGTAGTACTTAATTCTGAGATGACAAACCTTTTACTGGCCAGAGAGCACCAGCTTTTGTTTTCTTTTTCATCTGCACCGAGGCCACGGGTGCTTTCCTAGGGCTCAAGTCTTTTTCTTGGGAAAAGAAGAAGATGAAGACAGAGACTTGTCCTGTGGCACTTGTCTCTGAGTGTTTCACAAACATAGGATTTATTTTCATAAAATGAAGAGGGAAAAGGGGTGCTATGTGGAACAGAAGTGTGGCTGAGCCAAATTGTCTTTCCTTGCAGCATCCTGCACACTCTCCTATCTGCAGCTACTGGAGGGGAGACATGAGAACAAGTCTCCTTCATTTCATAACTCTGACACCCTGTCTTCTAAATCTGGTGTAACCATATCTTCCTTATAGTAACCCTGTCACTCACTCACTGAGGCTTAGGCTGAAGCTTTCAAATCCACCTTCCAGATGTCTGTCCCTGAGCTGCTGGAGTGATAGGAGTACTGAGTTGTCTTGCTTGAAACAGGACTGTGACAGAGGCATGTGAGGAGCTTTCAACACCACTTCTTTACATGTTTTTTTTTCTGAAAGCAGGAGGATTGTGCCAACCTTTTGAAGCCTGTGTGCATGAACTCCTCTTCCAGTTCTTAACAGCCACCATCACTTTGGCTTTTTCCCGAGCCTAGGTGTCTCCATGTCCCAAAGTTTCATATCCCTGATCCACTCCTGTCATTCAGCCTGTCCCTGCTTCACCAAAGCTGCAGTTGCCAACTCATCCTTGTGCCTTCTGGTAGTCACATGCAATCTCAACATCTGAAATACACCCAATTATAGGTCATGGACAGACCTCACAGACTTTTTCTTTGAAAAGGTGATTTATCTTTCCAGAGTGTCCTTTCTTAATTTTTTATCATTGGCTATTGCTATCATGTCTGCCACAGTGGCAGTCTGTTGGGACAGAGAAGAGAAAAAAGCTCCTGAAAAAAAATGGAGGCTTCTGTATGTTTGGTAGCTTGTAGGCTACTATTGGATTTTAATTTATCACAATAAAAAATCAATTTGTAGCTCAAAACTAGCAAATTTTTTAAAATTGGCAGTGTCATAGCTGACTTCATATGGATGATTTAGGGGTATTGCTCCATAATTCATTACAGATGAAGGGCTGTAGTTGGGTTGCTACTGAAAATGATAAGCAAAGCTTTTCCCTCCTGTACTTTATAGCTCTCTTTAATATGTTCCAGACCTAAAATTCATCAAAAAATATTGATTTTAATAATGCTATTATTACAGCCATCAGGAATTCTGCCCTTTGAGTAAATTTATCCATGAAAGAGATTAGGTTGAAGGTTGGCATATCATTTGGGAAGAATTTATCTTGCCAAGAAAAATACGAGAAGGATTTACTGTGAGTTTGCAGTGTAGATGTGATACAATTTAGTTCAGCTATAGCACTGCAGTAGAAATGATAACACTCCTGTCTTATATCTCATTGTTCTCTTCCATGGATTAATCTAAATTGGTCCCTTCATACCACTTTTCAAATACTTGTCAATGTATTTACAGTGTCATAGGAGGGCCCTGCTTAGCAGAGTTCACCCTGCAACCCTATAATGTACATATACTATTTTAACCACTCAGCCCCAACAGTAGCTGTATTGTTGTATGCAAGTTGTATTTAATTTTAACTAACAGGATGTTCTCCTGTTCTATGCTGAAAATTGTCATTGCAGATGGGTTTTGACCTTATTTTATCTTAGAAATGTGCCTTTTTTGTCTGGTATTATTGTTTGGCCATCCATCCCACTTCCTCTCTCCAGAATGTTTACCAGATCTCTACCTCATCTGAAGGAAATAGTTCAGTTTTAATTAAAAACTTAAAACTTAAAAACCTTAAAAAATCTACCACAATTAATTCTAAACCCAGACTTTATCTACCTAGTGCCACATGAGAGGTTTCATGGCTGCACATTATATAGAAGTAATTTTTTATTCTGTCTTATTCCCCCTGGACCCTAGTGACCTCTCAGGATGGCATCTTTCAGACGCAAGGCAGCACAAGTTGCCTCACTGGTAGACTTCCATGGAAGTTCTTCTATATTTTTAAAGCGTGGCCCCTAGAAGGCAAAAATGCAAGTAGTTGCATTATGCTATTTAATATTTGGCTTTTCAGGGTGGAATTTTAGGGGTTAATGTGTTCCTTAGAGGCAAAATCCATAACTCTCAATATAGCAGGATATGCAAAAATTTTAAGGGACCATCATTGTTCATTAGCTATTTATGAGTATTATTTTCTTAATCACACACATCAGGCTATCTCTGTGATAGCTTAGTAATGCTTCATTAGATGTGTGTGACTAATGTGGTCTCCATAAAGAGGCTGTAATTGTCTCATTGTTTATTTATGTAACAATAAATCTTTGTTTACTGTAGGTTACTTTCCAAAATGTATTTAAAAATAATAATTAAATTCTGTAAAATACTTGGGGAAACATTTTCATCTACATTCATGTAATGAGGTGCACTTTTAAACCCATGTTCTTTCTAATTACAAAATCCTGTTGACTTAAATGGAAAACCCAGACACTGTGAAGGAGAAGTAAGATGAAAGAAAAAAAAAATCCTATCTGGCTTCAAGTAAAGAATTCTTTCTGTTAAAGAAAACTTTTGTATCAGCTTGTGGATATGTAAATTGCCAGAATATACTGCAATATAAATCTATGAGCTGTGGTTGTATGTAAAATCACCTAGGTTCTACAGTTATCCAAAAAAGCATGATATCCTATATCAGTATCTCATTTATTTGTCTGGAATACCACAAGGAGATGGATTGTAACCCAGTCAATGAAGGTGACAACCCCTTCACCAAGTTTTCTTAACTGTCATATGCAGCACTCAAAGAGGGAGTTTGATTTGCCTTGTCTGTTACATACTTTGGAGGGATTGACCAGTCTTTCAGAAATGTTGGCCCATATCTGTATGAAAATACAGGCTTTGGGTAGAGCCTGTGGGATTATAACATTTCTAGGAATACTGAGTCTGATTGGGTTACGGTGCTGCAGAGGAGTATTGCAGCATGGTGCTCGTGGTTGGTGAATTTAATCTATAGCCATTTTCTTCAGGTTGTCAGGATGAAATCCAGGAAGGATAACTGTGTATAGGAATAGATAAATGTATAAATATATATAAATGGGGCCTACAAGAAAGCTGAGGGGGTACTTTTTAGAAAGGGTTATGTAGTGAGAGGACAAGGGATAATGGATAAAACTTCAAGAGGGGAGATTTAGATTAGACATTAGGAGGAAATTCTTTACTGTGTGGATGTTGAGACACTGGAATATGGTTGCCCAGGGAAGCTGTGGAAGCCCCAGCCCTGGAAGTGTTCAAGGCCAGGTTGGATGGGGCCCTGAGCAACTTGATCTAGTGGGAGGTGTCCCTGCATATGCAGGGGGGCTGGAACTAGGTGATGTTTAAGGTCCCTTCCAACCCAAACCATTCTATGATTCTATTTTATATATTTTTATATAAACATATACATATTACTCTAACTAGTATTATT